AAATTATATATATATTCATAGAAAATTTTATATATATATTCATAGATTGATATATTTGTCTTAATATGTCCATGATAAACAAAGTGAGGGATAGATCTGGTCATATAACTTTGATGAGTGGCTGCTAAACATGTAGTCAGATTACAATGAAATTAAGCAGTTAATAACAGATAAGGTATCATGGATGATCTACAGTGGACCCTCGACTTACAGGTGGCTTGACTTACAGACTTTTCGAGTTACAGACTTCTCTGGCTGCAAAATTTAGATTCGACTTGCAGCCAGAGAATCGACTTACAGACCAGAAAAAAACCAAAATGGAATAAAAATAGAATAAAAACCACTGGTTATGGGATTAATCGGTTTTCAGTGCATTGTAGGTCAATGGAGATTCGACTTACAGACTTTTCGACTTGCAGCCACCATTCCAATGCGGATTAATTCCTTAAGTAGAGGGTCCACTGTACTCCTTTCTTGCAAGTCTAGTACATCTGTCTAAAGTTATTATTTCCTTTGTGTGGAATGAGAGGATACAACTACCGTATTTTTCGCTCCATAAGACGCACCTTTCCATAAGACGCACCAATTTTTTAGGAGAAGAAAACAGGAAAATATAATCTGTTTTCTTCGCTCCATAAGACGCACAGACTTTCCACACCCCTGTTTTGTGGGAAAAAAGTGAGTCTTATGGTGCAAAAAATACAGTAAGTTCAAGAGTTATTCCTTGGAAATGCTCATTCATGGGGAAAATGAGTCATTTACTGTAAGCATTGTTGCTGTTTTAGAAATCATCTTGACTGAAGGTGGCTTACAACTGATAAAACAACAGATTTAAAAACATTATATAATTATAATATTTAAAGTTCTCCTGTACAGTAATTGTTCTTTTAACTCTCTCAGTTTTTTTGACCTATCATTCATTATCATTCTGCTCAATGCCCTCCAGCAAGTTCAGGAGGAAAATATACAAAGGTCATTTGGGAACCTGGGATTTCCCCAGTTGTAAAAGTCAATAGCTACAGGAAAGTCAGAGACGTTAATCCTGGTGCTGTTCCTCTTCTCTGTAACAGTGGCAGGAATTTAGAAATGAGATCTCAGTCTTTCATGATGAACACTTTCTGTAAACAACTCATGGGTTTCCAGCCATGTCAATACATGTTTATTGTTTTAAAAAGTCCAAACTTTTGATGGCAGTATCCTACACCTTCCCTGATGAAGGTGGTGCAGGATATTGCCATCAAAAGCTTGGACTTTTAAAACAATAAATATGTATTGACATGGATGGAAATCTGTGAGTTTTTTACACAATTTAGAAATGATTAGTAAATCTTTGCTCAATGCATTTTAGTTCTCAGGCACAAGTGTTTCTTTGCTTTTAAGCACACAGGTGATACTGGATTAAGCTCCATAGCTATAGACACAAATGAACAGGAATGATTCAACCTGAATAGTTTATTGAGTTTTCTTTCTTGCACAAGACTTTTAAGGATCTGGTGAGCCCACACACTGAATTTAACAAAAGAAGCCCCAGGTGTCTCTGGCCCAAACTTGTATTATCTTCTTACAGGTACTTCTAGTCTTCCTCCTAATCCTTTTCCATGTTGTAGACAGAACATTTGGGAAATTCTAAATATACTCAGTAGTTAATGATGCTCAGTCCATTTCATATGGAAACATTCCCATCACTTTACAATCATAATGCTCCTATAGTTGGGCTGATTTTGGGCCATGCCTCTGTTCTATGGTACAGTTTGTTTAGTTTAATCTGAATTTATCTAGCAGAAAATGACTGGAGCTCAGATATATGCAACTCATTGGTGGAAAAGCCAGTAATAATGTTACCTTCATCTTTGCTTTCATTCGCTGAATTAATTGAATTAAAGCAGGCCAAGAAGAAAGCCAATACTCAAAGGAAGAAAGCTTTTTTTATTGTTTACGTTTCTGTTTTTTAAAAAGGCAGACATTATAGAGAATGGCTTGTAAAGGCCCTGCTAATGTAGGTCCTAGGTTCCCATACAGTATTTAGCTTTGCAATTATAGACTGCAGCTATTCATAACATCCATTGGGAAAAATGGGTAAGATACAAAGGTGTTCTTTGAGGTTAGAGTACCCTTCAGTTGAATGGGAATGGCTGCTAGGTGAAGATGCATAGCACTATAACTTTAATCATTGCATGAAGATTTAGGAAAGCAATTATTGTCAGAAGGGCAGAGATGGAGTGGAACATTCCAAGTTAGGTAATAATATATTCGCTCAAGTGCAGTAGATTTCCTAGCACCCACTGCCACTTCAGTCCTAAGCATGCTTGTTTGGACTTGAGCCTTATTGATATTAGTGGAACATATTTCTCCATAAATGTTGTAAGATTCCAGCTATAGTGATCAACAATTCAACTGGGTTCACTGAATAATGCAGAGATGATTTCAGGCATCCGCTGGAATGTCCTCAGGCATGAGGATGATCTTCATGCAATGATTAAAGTTATAGGCCTATGCATCTTCACCTAGCAGCCATCCCCATTCAACCGAAGGGTACTTGCATCTGATTAGATATGCAGAATATTGCTCTGCAGGACAATGTACACAATGTGTACAATATACAGGAAAGTATTATTAAACTCTTCACCCACTCTACCATTTTTCACATCAGTCAGGAGCAAGAACAAATTTTAAATTAGAAGTTGAGAGATTGTGAAAGACTGTGAAGTTTCAAAAACAGTCAAGTACAGATTGTGTACATTTTAATATGTGAATTTGAGCAACATCAAATTAGCTGGTGCCTCAACTTACAAACGTCTTGACTTGTGACTAATTTGAGTTATGACCAGGTCCGGTTGAAAAATTTTGCTTTAACTTGCGACCGGCACTTTGAGATACAACTGGAAAAAAGGCTCCCTCCCTTCCTTCTTTCCTGCCCTTTTTGTAACCTTAGAGGTCATCTTAGGTTTAAAAAAAGTCTCCCCTAGTAGACTGATTAACTGCTTTGAGATACAACCAGCACCTTGAGAAACAACCAAAAAAAAATGCCTGGAACAGATTAATTGTGTTTCAGTGTATTCCTATGTGAAATGGTGCTTTGAGTTACGACCAACTTGAGTTATGGCCATCATCCTGGAATGAGTTAAGTTCGCAACTTAAGGCACCACTGTAGTGATTTGTTTGTTTCCAGCCCCATAGTTCTCCTTATCAGCACTGACAGAACTAGAGGTGGAAAAGGAATTAGTTGGATTTATATTTTCCTATGGAAATACCCATTTTGCACCTCTGAGAAGTATCCATTATGCGTCTGCTATGGAAAAGAGTGCACTTTGACTCAGAAAGTTGTACATTTCTGAGGAAACCTGTGCATTTCTGCAGCAAAAAGTGTGTACAGAACCATGTATCAATTAAAACAATGTGTACAACCCAACTGTAGTCAATAGAAATTGTGTGTACAAAAGCTATGGGCTGGAAAGATCTTTCTGCATTAGAAAAACTGGTACAAAACACACATATATTGTGAAATAACATATCCTTATAGAACTAAAGATCCTCTTACATTACAAAAATCAATACAAAAATTCTGTACAGTTAAAAAAAACTGGTATACACAGCAAAAGTAGGTTTAGTATTGGTGACAAGAGGCCACGGAAGTTTGGAAGGGATAACAACTATGATAACCTGGAAGGAATCCGGATTCCTGAACAAGTTTAATAAATATGTATGTGGATTTTGATACAAAATATGAATAGGTCTAAGTCCATACTCTGCGAATCTTAACTTGAAACTGCATATAACCCTTACAAAATCAGCAAAGATTATCTTTGCACATCAGAAATCACTGGGACTCTGTGTGGGTGTGTGGGTGCATGTGCACATGTGCACGCATGTTTATTGTTTACATCCTTTAAAAATAATTAATAGCATAGTTTATTTTTTTAGTTGCAACTGTAAAAAATATCAAAAGAAAGATCACTGTCAACAGTGTCAAGTTAAGTTTCCTGTCAAAGAAAGCTTATTTTATTAAAAGAGTGTTTAAAACCAGTGTCATCTGTATCATCTTCCAAGCTCTTTTGGCTTGGAACACCTGCTACCATTAAGTTTTGTTTTACTTCCCTTTTATATTTCTCATCATATTTGCCACAAAATTTCATCCTACATCTTGGAGAATAAAGGTCTGCAAGAATTTTTCTAAAACAAAAACCAATGAGCAGAATCTTCGTTTACATCAACGGAGGTTTATTGTATGTTTGAAAAAAAGTACTAAGAAGCTGTTTAATACTAAATGAAAGTGGATGATTCTAATGGGATCATGGATTTCCTTCATTTTTCAGGAGTCAGTGTGTGTACATTTGATACAAAAAGAGTAACCTTTTTGTTTCCCCCCTCCTGTGTGCAGGCTGGCATGGCCTTGACATATGACCCCACAGCTGCTATACAGAATGGGTAAGTAGCATAAACTTTACTACTTTTTAAAGATCTCATGATGTTTTTCTGTGTGGTTTTCGGCAATTAAACATGGTTTCAATGGGTTCACCACAAAAAGACAATTAGAAGTCAGTTTTGAAGTAGGCTGTCCAATGTGCATAATGGCTTCCCCTTTTACTTTTTTCATGCCATTTGTTTATAATATCTTGCTGATTGTGAGTTTTTTTCCTTCCTTTCTTTCTTCACATTGCTTTTGAGGCAACCTGACACTTTCAGTTGTTTTTCATTTAGAGTTTGCAGGCACTGCTCCAGCATTTAGCCAGGAAGAGACGGACATTTTCTAAAAGAATTTCCCCATGATTGGGGGGAACTTTTTTTCTGAATGGCCTTCACATTAGAGAAGTTGACTTATATTTAATGTTGCTTACTTTTAGTTTTTAGAAGTGCAGATGGGCTGTGGTAACCATTTAGGAGGCATGATACCTTTTCACTAGTTATTTGGAACTGTGTTCACCATATCTTTCAGAGGAAGTCCAAAGTGTCTCATCATTCCAACCCTCAATCCACTTCACAAATCACAGCAGGAATGAAACATTTTCCTCAGCGCTTCCTCCATTGAGAATAATTGCTATCTAGAATGTTTTTAAAATGAGATTAAAAGAAACAAACAATCCCCAAACCCAAGGATAGTCTTTTTTTTTTCTTTTCTGTGAAGGCATGGTCAACAGCTTCCAGAATTGTGGACTCGGGGCCAGTTATATGTTACATACAGAAAAGCCATTGTTATAGTCTGGGAATCTGTTAAGATTTGAAAAACATGATTTTGGAAGACAATCACGATAGAGCAATCATAGCTCAGTCACAAAATAAAGCATGCTATCATGGATCATTTTTGCATACACTTTTCTGTGTCAGTAATCAGTAATACTGCAATTGCATTAGCCTCCAGTTATGTCACAGAAAGAGGCCATTCATGCAACTCTGCATATAGAAAAAGTTGGAGCAATTTTTATTGATTTTAGGATATGTGTGGGTGGAGGAATGGTTCTAGATGAGAGGTTGATCACTTGATGTATCTGAAGTCTTTAAGAGCAGAAAGCCAAAAAAGGAAAGAAAGAAAAGAAAACAGAAAAAAATCCTCCCTCAGAATCTCTCCCTTGTATCTCTAAGAATCTGATGAGCATGTTGACCATCTGTTTCCTGACATCTCTCTCATCTCAGCAGTTCTACTGGCTCTCACTGCTGCCTTCCCCAGAGAGCCTGAACAATTATGTCTTTCTGTGCCCAGTCATCTGCAACAAAGGTTGTGTAGCATTGCTGTAAAACAAATACGAAGGCTCCAGTTGGTCATTCTCATTCAGATCCTAATATTATTGCAATAAAAGTATTTGCTGTAATTATGTTTAGTAATACATGAGTATTATGTTAGTCCTGGGATAGTGTTAATCAGTGTTTTTGTATCCAGTTTAAATGTGGACATGAGACAATTATGTTCTGTTTCTGTTGGTAAATAGGATATCTTGTTATTGTAAATCTTCATAGGGAAGTAATAGTATAGTGCAGTCCTTAGTTTTCAGTAGTTAATACATTCCTCAAATCTGGCTTTCTTTTGTGATGCACAAATGGAAATATGTGAACTCTCTGCCAGTTATCAACAACATGTTCAGGAGCAGACCATACGTAAATGAGCCTATAATTCTGTTACGGATATTATATATAATGGCCAAAATTCCACTGCATAAATTTATGCCCACTTAAAGGTGATGATGTCACCAGTGAGGGAGATTGCTGGCTATTAAAGAGTTCCTCCTTTGAATTTCAAAGATGGTACAACTTGTCTGTAGTCAGTCTCATTGCACATGAGCTGAGTGAGCCTGAGATCAAAGGAGAGATTCTGCAGTTACCAGCAGCCTGCTGCTGACAGTAAAGTCATCTGGAGGGGGGGGGCTGCTGGCAGTTAAAGAGTTCCTTCTTTGATCTCAGGACTCATCGGTCTTACATGGAGAATTGTGGGTGAGCTTTTTGAGCCCAGTGACGGAAGAAAAACTCTTTACAGTACTGGCAATCTCCTCCTGCTGCTGATTTGCTATGATCTTCAGAAGCACAACATCTGATATAGGAGGAAAGGAGGGGATTTTTACCAATCCCCCTCAAGTTTCCTATGGCCCCTAAATTTTTCCAGATAGTGGGGAGTCTCTCCAGAGTAGTGTGGAGTGCTTTGCTAGTAGAAGAGATTCTTGATTCGATCCTGTGTGTATTGAGAGGGAAGCAATAATGTAAAAAATTGGCATGTATGTTCTGGAGCTGTTGTGTTGTCATGCAGTTGGTGGTAAACTGGTATTCTTCATCGTGGTCTTCTGTGAATGCACACAAAGGGTTAATACCAGCGCCAGCGTTGGGCCTCTATTGGTGGTAAACTGGTAATTTTCTGCTTGGCGTACTTTAGAATTCTATAATCAGTTGAGAAGCGAACAGCCCTTAGTGAAGAACCTCTTTTGTAATCTTGGATGGAGAAAATAAGTGCTGACAGAGTGGACAGTTAGGAATGACACAAATATTAGTAGGGATAGAAATTTGGAGGATTATGAGGGTGAGCACAGGGAAGAGGTGACTAAGGGTTGAGATTGGCAAGGGAATGATGCTGATCTCTCCTTGGAACTGAAAACTCTGAGCACTAAAAAGCACAAACAATGAAAAGGGGCAAGACAAATGTTTAGAAACTATGCTACCTTCCAGACTTTCAGACATCCCGAATTATGATGGATATAAAGAGAAAGAGTCTGTGTAGAATATGGATTTTGTTACTAAAATTCAGTCCCAGTTTATGACTGTTTTGTTGCTCTTCTGACAAAGAGGAGCAGATTGTATTCTGATCGATTTAGTTCATTTTTTTATGCTTGTTCTTGTTCATCTATGGTAGACAGCAGCAGGAGGAGGAAAAAGTGGCAAATGCACATATATCAAAAATTTCAACACAGAAACATTTTTGCATAAAAGTGAACATAATACATTCAGGGGGGAAATCCTTAAAGGAAGCTTAAAGTTAAAGGTAAGGGAAAATAGAAGGAATGGGGTGGGGTGGGGAGATTAAACATGAAATTACTTGTGTTATTTATATTCTAACTTTGCCCGCTGTGTTCTGCTTATGAGGAATAAGAAATGTATTTACATTCTCTTTAATCACCAGAACTATTTACCCAAATCCGTGTTTTTGTGTGTGTGTGTGTGTGTCTGTGTGTTTGTGTGCGTGTGTGCAGTATATGCTCCAGAGAAAGTTGTAATGGCTAATTGATGAGGTGCAGATAAGATGTTTGCTTGTGTACCTGATCACCAACCTGAGATGTGCCTTGCACCATGGCAGTAAGCTGCATGAACTTTCACAGTTCCTGCTGCAGTCAAGTACCGTATTTTACTGTGTATACAACCCCCAGTGTATAAAACAACCCCCTAGTTTTGACCCTTGATGGAGGTGGAGGAGCAGTTAATTGGCAACTGCTCCTCCACCTCCATCGCCTGCTGCTGCTGTCTCTGCTGCCCCCTCCCATTACCTCCTCCAGTGCGACTGCCGACTGCCGGGGCTCTCTTCCAGCTCATGTCGCTGCCTTGTCCCCTGCCCTAAGGAGATCGTGGGAGGAGATGATCTGGCGGCGGCAGCAGGAAGAAGCGCCCGAGTGTGCGCAAATGCTTGTTTGCCTCCACCTCTGCCTCCTGTGCCTCCACCATAGGAGGGGACAAGGCAAGCTGAGCCCATGGGAGGTGGTGATTGGGTGGGCAGGGAAGGCAGCAGCAAGAGGTGCCCGAGCATGTGTGACTGCTCCTTTGCCTCCTCCTGCTGCTGCTGCTGCCTTGGGGCCACCAGAGGGGACAAGCCGTGAGCTCTGGAAGAGGCAATTGGGCAGTGGCGGCGGCAGCAAGAGGTGTCCAAGGGTGCAAGCATGCCTGCTTCCTTCCGTGTATAAAATGACACTCAGTTTCTCCTCTAATTATTTTAGGAAAAAGTTTCATTTTATACACGGAAAAATATAGTAAATATCAAATAGGATTTTGCTGATATAGCATGTGAAGCATAGGAAGTTCTGTGTATGCTTGAGTAGACATTATTTTAGTCAACTATAACAGTACTTGCAAAATATATAGTGAAAATGCCTTGATCTGAGAGAAGGGAAACCCATGTGCTGTTGCTGGAATATAAATATTACAGATTTAAGTGTTTTCAAGGTAACTGTGTCTCTTTAAGTGAAAAAGAAATGGTTATCTGTCCATTAGATTCTTGGCTTAAGCAAGTTTTTACTTTGTATTTTGCATTCATAGAATGCTGATAATTGAGAATTGGTAATATTCACTTGGACTCTGGGAGATTCAGGCGTGCTGAATGTTTGTCCAAGACAGAAGGAAATTGAAAGAGGGGGTGTATTTTACAATTGGTCTTGGTTTCTTGATAACGTTGGAGTAACTTAGATTTAAACTAAAACATAAATGTAAGTTGATAGCTAAAGGGTAATCAAACAGTTAAAAAAGTAGAAAGTTTATTTTTTTAAAAATTGAAAAATGAATAGATTGGATGCTTGTATACTTAATATGAATAGATTAGATGATTGTATATTCTGTGTTCTCTTATCCTTGAAACCCTTTTCCCATCCCTTCCACTTCCTTTTACCTTTTGCATTCTCTGCTCTGTTTCTAGTAGTATAAAAATAAAATATTTTAAAAAGAAAAGAAAATGGTTGAAATTCTGAAAAACAAATTTTTCCATACTGTAATGAATAGGGGCCTCTTATCCCTCTTATCATGTCAGTATATAAAATAAGTATATCCAACTTTATTTTTATTTATTTACAATATTTTAGCCGCACCATTACCAGTGGCTTGACCATTGATTTTTTGCTAAATCATAGTGTTCACGAAAGGAGAAATCTCTATGTATGTTATGTGACACAGATCCTCAGTTTTCACCAACAGAATGGAAGAAATCTCCTTTCAAAGAACTATCCCTTTGGCAGAGTCTTCATTCTGTTAACAGACTTTTTTCAATAATGAAGATAAAATTTAGCATCTGAAGTGTACTAAGAAAATCCATCTGTAGAGAAACACCAGGTGACAGCTTATTGTTGTCTTAGTCAGACTTTATAGAATCCTAAATATGCATATGTGCGCGCGTGCGCACACGCACGCACGCACGCACGCACGCACACACACACACACACACACACACACACACACACACACAGATAGATAGCCAGCTAATCATACTTCTTTTTTCTCTTTCATCCCTTGATAAGCTATACTTAAACTTTTACTGTCTGTTTAAGTTGCTTGTTATAACACTTCCAGTAATTTCACTCTTCCCTTTATTTAATTGTTCTTGACCTAAAATTCATTGTAATTTTAATTTCTTCCTAGGATTTCAAAGATTTAACATTCTGAAACTTGGGGATTTTTAATAAAAAAAATAAACTGTTGATACTGAAAATGTGTCAGTTGATGAAGGCTAATCAAAAGTTTGGTCCTTCTTAGATGGACATTTCTTTCTTCAGAGTTAGAGGAAGGAGCTTTAGGAATTCGTTGAATTTCATACAGCTATTAGCAAGTTATTCATATTCATGAAATCTCTCCGGTCTGATCTATTGTTTAACAGAAGCCCTTGCTGTAAGAATGTCCCATTTCTGTAGAAAGTTTCTCCCTCATAGATAATATAAGTTCATTTCTTTGCTTCCTTCAATTCTTTCCCTACATTTCTCAGAGTAGCTCTACCATGACCTGAATATTTTTACCTTCTGTTTCAAAAGGTTACCCTTTTATATTTTTGTCAGAGTCTCCTTTATATATCTGCTAAATCCTAAATCTAACCCTGCCATTGAATATACTATCACCTGCACACAAATCCAATGGCCTTTGTAACTGTTCTTTTAAATGCCCCAGTTGATCTCCTAACTCTTCAGGAACTCCTCTGAGTCTCATATTGGATCTTTTTTGTTGAGAACCGTCCATTCTTGTTCTTTGCCTACTGATAGTAAATCATATACTTCACTATAAATAGCTTACAAGTCATTATTATTCAGTGAATACTAATTGAGGTGGCTTCCAGCCATCAGGTGGAACTCTTCCATGTAACACAAACTGCCTTGTACTTGTGTCAATTTTAGATATTTCAATGGGTTTTAATTTGTGTATTTTTGTTTAAAAGTAGTTTCAGATAGTGATAGGGTTTAACTGTATTTTATAGTGTTGTTATGTTTTATTGCATATTGTAGATTGCCCAGAGTGTAGCAACATATACACTACATACATACATACATACATACATAGAGACATACATACATACATACATACATAGAGACATACATACATACATACATACATAGAGACATACATACATACATACATACATAGAGACATACATACATACATACATACATACTTACATACATACATACATGCAAGCAAACAAACAAACAAACAAACAAACATATTAAGAAAAACGCTGTAGTTCAGTGACTGATTAGAGGGCTCCCAGAGAATGCCAATGTCCAGAAGGCTTTTAATTGAAATAATATCAGCTGTGGGTCCTGATGACAATTTTTAGAGTATATATTTTAATTGCATTTTAATTTTTTTGTCTTTTTAATGTATTTTAAATGTTGCAAGCCGCCCAGAGACCTTTGGATAGTGTGGGCGGCATATAAGTTAAATCAATCAATCAATCTTTGGACATATGTCTCCCAGGATCAGGCTGATTTGGATAGATTGAAGAAGGACTTACGTGATTAGAATGGTTTGGAGTCACTTTGTTGGTTTAGTTAATAAAGTTATGTTAAAAAGCAGCTTTGGCTTCTGCCCCTATGTCCAGACTTGTGGGTCCTTTTGAAGTCTCCTTCTCATGGAGGATTTGGGGGCATGTACATTGATACATTTCTGCATGCAAAAGGCCACAAAATAAACCTGGATCATCTGTGGATATATCACTATCATTTCCAGATATAAAAAAGATCAATCAACAACTGATGTGGAAGGGCTGAGGTCCTGGACTCTCTATCATTCAGTATAGATTATATTAGGTTAGATGGACAAATAACCTAACCTAATGTAGGCCACATTTTATGTTAGGCTGCAATCCCATAAACTACATGGGAATAAATCCCATTTATCTCAGTGGACCTTATAGCTGAACAGATTTTCAGAGGATTGCAGTTTATGGTTAATAATCCATGACCAATTGACAAATTTTACTTAATTATTTTGAGATTACATTGCATATTTGTTGCATAATAATGATTACAATGTTCATTTTGCTTTCAGTCATTGTTTCAGAATTTGCTAATTTGTTAATTCAGTTTACATATTTATTTTTAAAGTACTGAATTGAAATAATGTGATGGTTAATAAGTCTAAATTTCAATTGATTAATAATGATGATCACTATAGTTATCTATGCCTAACTTCTTTGAACATCTCAGTTCTCTATTTTGAAAAAAAAGTTAATGCAAGAAAAATGGAATTATTAATGTTTCACATCAGTTTCTTGTTTTCTGTTCCCAAAGAGATTGCTCAGAAGCAGAGCACATGAACATGTAATACCAGATTGTCATGTGCCTGTTCTTCATTTCAAATGTTTTCTGTAATGTCTAATCCATCCCTTTGTGTTTATCCATCCCACCTCTATGTTTTCCCCCAGTGAATCAGGGCCAAACTATACATTATAGAGGAGTTGACATAAGATTAAATCTATCAGAATACTGGAGGCATGACTCAAATGGATCTTCATGATTGTGCAGTCAGATGTGGAAATGAAGCCCGGACAATCACAAAACAGAGCAATCTTCTTTGCAAAATACAGGGAGGCGTGAAAAGCTCCTTCTGTGGCAATCTAATGTTTAGCAAACCTGATAATCTCCCTCTTCTAATCATGGGTTATCTGCAGGATAAGATATCGGTCCTCAGAAAATGTGGGTTTAGCTGCCTTGAATGCCATTAATTAGGAGCTAGGTGGTGTACAAATCCAGCAAAAAAATAATATAGACATCATACTTGTGCATATAGTTACTGAAACGTGGGGAAATGTTTCAGAAAATTCCCTTTCCTTTAAGTGCTTGCTTTACAGCCCTCACAAACTTTGAATGTGGTTAGAGATTTTAAAATTCAGATGTGGTTGGAAAGTGACTCATCGAAGTCCTTCCTGAATTTCCATCAAATTTTCTCCTCAACATCTCTTCGTCTCTGACATTTTAACAAGGTCACTGTTCATTTTACATCAATACACTGTACTTGGTGTCATAAGAAGCAGAGTGGGGAGGGACAATCTGGTTTTTCTTCCCATTTAAAAATGATCTATAATTATTCTTGTAGTTACCATCTTCTGTCTGATGAGAAATGTAAAGTAAATCTGTCAAGTAGGGTGTTATTTACACCCCTTTTTTCCTATTACAAACATACCTGGCCCCATTCCTTTTCTACAAAAAAACTGTGTGTCATCAAAAAAAGATTGTGAACCACAACATACAATGAGACTTTGTGACAATTTTGAAAATGCAAATTCAAAATAATGAGATATTGAAATTAGTTGAATTAGAAAATGTATAGTCATTCATTCTACTATATCTGAGAGCTTATGAATTTTACCTGCCATCTGGCCTTAAGGTTTCTAAAAGTCTCAGTAAAACTAAACCTTTATTAAGAAAGGTTTTGTTGTTGCTGTTTTTGTTGACCCCATTCTAGAAAAGCAGCTGCTTTTAAAAAAAGAAGAAGCATTGCTTAGAATCCATATTCAGTTATAGTTAGAGTCAACTTACAATTTACTTTTGTCTCATTGATATCAATGGGTCTACTCTAGGTATGACTAAATCTGGATTCTCCCTGTTGTCTTGCAAAGACAGGAGCATAATTAATCTGCCAGGATCTCCATTTATCTTTGGTTGGTAATGGCTATGGAACAGTTCATTGCTACATGTCAGTCCATTACCTCAAGAATCTTCCCTTTGTTTTTTGTTTGTTTTTTTGTTTGTTTGCAGATTTTATTCCTCACCGTACAGTATTGCTACAAACCGCATGATTCCACAGACATCTATCACGCCATTCATTGCTGCTTCCCCTGTCTCCACATATCAGGTATGTTTGAATTGCATGTGCCTCATAAAGCCCTAAATCAATGCTTGTGATTTGCATGTTGGTGAAGGCTCAATGTATATGGAGAAGATTATGGTACAGGGCTACACTCCTTAGTCCAGAGCGTAAAATGTTAATTTTTGAAAAAGTACAGTTACAATTATATTCCTAAGATCCCCCAAACAAACAGTTATCACTGCAGTTATGTCTTTTAAAAAGTGAGTATCAAATTTCCTTACTTCTGAAAGGTAATCAAAAAGCTTTTAAAAAGAGAGAGAGTACTATAATCTTCTAGCCTAGGGTATAAAACACAGTCATTTCCTCAACATCATGACACAGCACTCAATTCTCATGATATTCCTCTTCCACATCCCTGTTACCTATAAAAGTAAATAAAGTGTTGCCGTCACACTGCAAAAGTTATCCCTCCTCCTTAAGTTGCAGCCATAACGTATCAGTTTTAGCTTAGTTATTGCAATAAGAAACCAGTTCTAAATAATTGTTGACTTACAATTTCCAGATTGTGAGATGGACCAGTATTTCTACTATGCCACTACTAGTAGATGTGTGTAGTATTTCTCCTATGCCACTACTAGTAGATGTGTGTAGTATTTCTACTATGCCACTACTATTAGTGACTTCTACTATAGTTATATTAGTAGTGGCATAGTAGTGACTTCATTCCATGAAAAATAAAAGGAAAAGGAAGCACAAGTAATTAGTTACTTCAGAGCTCTGCTTTAGTCTTGTTGCCACATTAGTTTCCAGGCTGTTGTAGCAGCTGAGACAGAAAGTCCTGTTAACAGCCTCTCCTTGTTCCTGACAGTGAAAATGTAGTAATAATGATTTTTTTCCCAACAGATTACTGTCTTTTCATTACATCTAAACTAAGGCACCTGAGGCTACCATGAGAAACCTGGTAGCCCATGATATGTTTCAGATTTTTTAATGTGTTTTGGAGCTGGGTCTACTCAAAGTAGAAATAGTAATTGTACATTTGCCAGTAGTCATTGGTATAAACCTTTATTTTTAATTTTCAGACAATGGTAACAAAGTTTATCTTACCAAAGATGTTTCTAGTACGTAGACTTCTGCGTGAATTTGTGGTGTCTCCATCAGATGTTAATTTTTTTCCGTCAGCCTGTTATATTTTACAGAAGGAGATTCTTTCAAAATTCCTATAACCAAAAACTCATTACATTCATATCTGTGTTGTATTTTATGTGATCAGCATATGACTTCAGAACAAGATGCATGAACATCAATCAATAATCAGAATCAAGTCTTTGCTAAATTTGTATGCTTCAGTAGTCATGCCTGTTATGAAGTTTGTATTTGTTAGGTTTTCAAATATTTAGTGTGACAAGTTCTGTCTTTGCTTGAAGTAAGCAATCTTCCTAACTTCAGTGTAAAACTGTACATTTTTTCATGACTTTCATTTCCATTGAATTGATTGCAATTTTGGAGTTTACACCAGTCTTCTTTGGTGTGAAACTTCACTTGTTATGACAGGTGATGATATAGTTTGATTAATTAGCACATTTCAGGCCACTTAAAGTGAATATGTTATCTCCTTGTTAAGTAGTTTTTGCATTGTCAATCCGCACTGTGCTCCTAGCATCCATGACATGTCCCATCTATAGAATTACTTTGTGATTCATAATAAACATCATGGAGTGCTTTGAGTAGCCAAAAATATTTCCAGAAGGATTGCTATGTTTTTTTAAAAAAGTCAAGGAATCTTCTGATACCTTAAAGATTAACCATTTTTATGTGGCCATATGCTATCAGGGACTTCAGCATACTTCATGAATGGCAATTCACAAAAGCCAATGCCAAATAAAATGTATTAACCTTTAAGGTGCCACCGGACTACTTCTTGCCCTTATTCTTAAAAGGCTTGTCGGATGTTTATGTTCTTGAATAACATAGTTGATAAGAGCATTTCACAGAAAACATTCTGAACAAATGGAAAAAAGAAACCTTTCCTTGAATTGTTTTGGAAAGTTTGATAAGAATACTGTGATGGAAGGTTTCATTATCAGAGTAATGGTCAATGTGGCTGAGGAAGTACCATAAAGAAGAGGTTACTGTAGCAGGTATAAGTGATAGACACAACAGTAACAACAGTGCACTCTGAAGTGTATGGTCACCCTTGTGAGGCATAGAACATGAGTGGCTGAAGCTTTCTCGAGTCATCTCCCTATCTTAGGACATGATGAATCTGAATTAATGCCCATTTGTCATATATTATATCAAATATTAAAGGGCTGTGTAGCCTCCTGAGTTGATTGTTCCAAGTCTGGAAAAAAAGGCAGTGGCATTACATAAACAGGACATGATTATGTCCTGAAGAAAGAATAGGCTTAATGGGAGGGATCACACTATCACGTGTCATTAGATCAGAATGGAAAAATCCTGGCGTTAAAAGGAAGCAGCTCATGAAAAAGACTCAGACATAAGAAAAGCCCTGGGAAGTGACTGGCAGTCGCAGGAGACAATCCTTGGTTAGATAGACAAATCATCCAAACTGGTTGTGGTGTGTTTCTTTTGTTTCTCTAGCTATTGGTCCCCAACGTGGCATCTATGAGTGCCGCCATGCCTGTAAGGCAGTTTTTCACCTCTGCAATGGAATTTCACCATTCTCTTGCATAAGAGGAAAATATCCCCTGCCAAAAATGTCTGGAATGAGATACAAGGTAACAATAAGTACTTGTTACACAGGGGCAGCAGGTTTTTCTTTATTCATTTGAGTGAGAAAGACAGCCATCTGTGGGGATGGAAAAAAGACAAGATGGGGTAGAAACCTTCTCTTCACTATTCTTGAGCCACGAAGAAGAGAGAGAGAGACAGAGAGGAAGGCTGGCCAGATGGAGTAAACCATCACAGAACACAATCACAGAGAAGTAAATGCTCAAAATGTTTTTGTGATTGCAACTGCACCTCTCCCTACACATAGAACAGTCAAGTTCTATGGTGGGGCCCAGAAAACCTCTTTCATATTTCAAGTGGACCCAAGTAAGTTGGGTCCCTTGTTCTTGCTGTTTTTTATACAACTGGAAATAGTGTTGCATAGATAGGATAAGGGGATAATAAATATGGTGTAATTGCCCTTCAGAGATTAGTGTTATGTCTTGGTAAATTGCTAAAGCTTTTAGGAATTATGCTTTTTAACTTCTGCGCTGTTTTTAATTTTACAGTCATTCTGTCAGCATAAATATATGTGCATCTCTTGCTCCAGAGCATGCTAATTATTCAGGAATATATGTAAATCATGTTCCTTTAAGTTCATTGATCATTTCATGGGAGCTTTTTATGCAGTCTGAAACCTGACTCTGAACTGTCTTGTTCCACAATGTACAACTACATTTTATCATACCAGCAAAAGTCCTTGCCTGTATGCCTCTCCTCCTAGGCAACCTACTGTAAAGAAGAGAGTCTGAAATCATGAGTCAAGTAACTTATTCTCTGAGAATCTGCCATCTCTCTTAGTGTAAAATTGCCCTTGGCCAAATGGAGAGGAAGGCAAATTCAACCCTTCATACGTTGTCAGACTGCAACTCCCAGCACTTTTTAGCATTGGCAATACTGTCTAATGCTAATGAGAGTTGTAGTTCAAGGACACCTGGAGGGCCACAGTGTTCCAACCCTTGGTTTAATGCAAGATGCAGAATCTTTCATCTGTCAAACGTTTTGGCCTATAACTTCCATCCCTATACCTATGCAATATAGTCAAAAGGAAGGAATTGCGGAAGCTTTAATCTAAGGCATCTGGAGGGTCAAAGATCTCTCACCTCTGGCCTAATGTTTAACTGAATCATATAGGTGCATGTATTATTTTCACTGTTACTTTAGTCTAAGGCATCTGGAGGGTCAAAGACCCTCTGGCCTAATGTTTAACTGAACCATATAGGTGCATGTATTATTTTCACTGTTTAAGTCACCATGTACAACATTGGTCAGAATCCTATTAACTATGCCTGCTGATGTAACTCAGTTGGTGTATATATCAGAGGCAAATTGCTACAAGTTATGACGTCAATGTAGGCATTTGAAATTACTTAGCATGCAAAAGTAGATGTAAATGAATTGATTTCTTAACTTGGGGATATTTCCCACCAAGGTTTACACTGGGTTATACCAGTATAAAAACCTAGTAAGGTTCCAACTTACTTTGTGTTAGCATAAGCACCATGCTGTGTGGGTTTTACTTCATAGCATTTCTCTGTTGGCTGCCATTGCATTTCTCCACCATTACTCCTGTCTTTGGGTGGAAGAGGAGTCATCATGTTTATCAGCTTTGCTGCTGTGTAGCTTGCAAGTTGCATTCAATCTACAGTATCAGTTATGCACATATAGGCTTTATAATTATGGATGAAGGAGTAAAGGATTTAAATGTAGCTTTATAAAAAAATCTGATATACCCTGTTTCCCGAAAATAAGACCTAACCTGAAAATAAGCCCTAGTGTGATTTTTCAGGATGCTCATAATATAAGCCGCACCCCAATAATAAGCCCAGTTAAGGGAAACCCTGCCTTCCACCATTGTGCAGCAACCAGAAGAAGATGACAACTGTATTTGAATAGATGTAGATTGTTGTAAACGAAAAAAATAAATAAAACATCCCCTGAAAATAAGCCCTAATGCATTTTTGGAGCAAAAATTAATATAAGATCCTGTCTTATTTTTGGGAAAACACATTATAAGAAAGAAGAACAAAGAACAAAATATTACTTCCAAACTCTGTAACTTTGTTAGCATGTTAGATTTTGGTGGTAGTATTTCCCAAACTGTTCTCAATCTGCCGTGAGTTGTATTCAAACAAGGTTATTGCTATTTTCTCCTGCCCTCATTAAACACTATAATGCTAATTTAGTGCTTTCTGACCCACAGGTTCAGAGTACTTCATGGATGCCTCATCCGTCATATGTTATGCAACCAACAGTAAGTGAGCATACACAGTTTTCTTGTTTTACTGGGATTTATTTGGATTCCCTCCTGCCTATAACAGAGTGTTAAATGGGCTATCATGTTCACCGAAGATTCAAAGCAAACAGTTGGGTAAATGTGTTTTTCATTCTCTTACAGTGTTTTTCCTCCAGCAATGCAATCTATTTTGTTTTGTATATCTCAGCAGTCAGAGCTGCAAAAGAAACTGATGTTTATGGTCCAATGATCAATCACATGTCTGCTTTTAACATGCTTTTTATAGTCAAGCATATTTCACCACTTGGGGGCACTCCTTTTAGATACAGCATGACTGTTTTCTTTGGTCCTGTCCGAGAGTTTATTAAAGTGATATCAGTGACACAGCAAAGATACACAGAAATGGTATTAGCCAACATTGTAGAGAGTCTGTTTATGATCATTGTGCATGTCACTAATGTGCCTTGCATTTGATCATCATGTGCACAGACCAGGGCAATGCAGTTAATACATTAAGAGAATTCTGAATCCACACAGGTGATCAGAGTTTTCCTGGGTAAACTCCAACAATTGTTTGGGAGAAAAGTTAGAGTTAAAGGACAGACAAGGGCCTGATCATACCTGGCAAAAGAACCACATTTATACCGATATAGCCATTTTTTACATTGTTTCATAAATTTCCAAGCACATTACCCATGACCAAGATAAACTTGTTTTCCTAGCCAGTGTTTTATTTCGTTTATTTCCCTCTCACCCAGAAGGTTATTTTATTTTGTGCTGATGATGAATCGCTTCATTCCTTATCATTTCAACCTGTGTGGCTGGCAACTTATTTCCTTTGCAAAGAGGTTGGGTTTCTGAGTGCTGTGGCCACTTAATGGCCACAGTTCTTGCTCCCCTTTTTTCCTTTTAAAAGTCTGTTGACACATCAGCACTAACAGACGCTGCTGCTAGCAAAAATAACATGAATACATTGCTCAGAAGGCAGCTTGAAGGATACAACCTTCCCCCCTCCTTTGCAGGTGAAAGAGGGCTTGAGCCTGCTTCTAATTGTAAAGAAAGGGGCATTGCATCTACTCTCTCTTTTTTAAAACCTTGCTCTTCATCATACTTCACAAGTTTTTGAAAACTCATTTCTTCCTCCCAATGCTGTGCAAAAGGTTTGCAAAGTATCAAGTATCATGCTGTTGATTTATTTCCTTTGCAAAGGGTCTGATTAAAGGAGGAAAGAGAAAAGGGCTCAGATCTCTCTGTTGCACTTTCAATATACAGTATCACTTTTGTTTTGTCTTGTTTTGTTTTTAAAAGGACAAAGGGGCTCATCACCCCAAGAAACAATAGAGAAAATGAATTGATACAAAAGTAAGATCAGTGTAGCCTGCTTTAGCGGTTCAAATACAAAGAAATGAACTGATACAGTGTAAAAAAATGTGAATGATTCAGCCAGTATATATACCATGCAAAAATATATGTATTGGTACAACAGAGGTATGGAAATATTTGGTATAGCTGGGGTTCTTTTGGTAGGTGTGATTAGGCCCTAAATATCAACCAACAGGTGATGAGGAAGACATATACTGGAAATGCTAGAGGGCCACCAACTGGCAGAGAAGGCAATGATGGCTTAGATCAGTGGTTTCTGATCCCAACCTTGGATGACCCAGGTGGGTGTTCTTGGACTTAACTCACAGAAGCCCTGGCCAGCACACCTAATGGTGAAGGCTTCTAGAAGTTGCAATACAGGAACACCTTGGTTACACAAGGTCGGGATCAGAAATTAGAATGAGAGACTAGGTCTCAGGATAGAAAAAATATAAAAAGAACCTTTATCCTGATTTAAACATGCTCAACGCATTTCGGCACACAGCTTTCTTCAGGAATGATATACGAACCCAGAAATAAATTATTTAAAAACAACAAGCTGAACAAGATGGATGAATAGTTTAACTTAGTGTAAGGGGGCCTTCTGTATTATCTTTCCAAATGACAAAAAAACCCCACAACATATGTGGCTTCAGGCATGTGCGGTAAATCCATCACCACTACAAGATTACATTCAGGGATTCCTGCTATAACACTATGCTGCCTCCAGTCCCCTGAACAGTAACAGAATTCACTCACTCACTTACGTACTTACTGACTTGAATATACATGATACCCAGATCAATGTGGCTTGCAAATATGAGATTTATGAAATGACAGTTTTATGATAAAAGCAATCATATCAACATAAATGGCTGATAAAATATTAGAAGTTAAAATATTAAAATGTTCAGAATCACCAATAAAACTTAAATTCTGAAAGCAAAGAGAAAGGTCAAAATCAAAGACTGAATGCCTGCTTAAGGAGGAAGGTCTTAGGATAATATGCATAATGATAGCAAGTGGTATGGTTGTTAGTAACATAGAGTATTCCACAGATGGTGGGTTTCTGCTGAGAATGCTGTTTCTTGGTTACTTAACAGGTGTAGAGAAGGAGCAGACAGGTTCCAGACATTGAACTGAGTGATCCCTGAGTGACCCATTGTCTGGAGTGTGTCCCTTTCATTGATTCTTACATAATACAATTCAATGCTTCTGCTAACAAGTACATCCAGACTGTCCATGCAAAACTCCTGGGTCTCAGATGTACCGATCACATCTTAATTCTGGAAATGCCTTTGTTTTGGAGTATCATTTGTACTGATGTAAAATGCTATGTTGGGGGTAGGCAATTGGGGAGGATCCTGTGTTCTTCTTTTGTAAAGGAGTTACACTATAAAGTGCACTTTGTGTAGCCCATGAATCTTTACATCAGGGAGAACAAGAAAATTACACCCCTGCGTATTCTCAGTTGCTGGGATAAACACATCTGCTGCTATTCCCATTACATATATCCAGCATGAAGATGTAAAGGGCGGCTTTATAGCCAACACACAGACAGGAGAGGAAAGAACTTTACTGAATTGTTGATATATTCAGAGGGATGTGATAGTATTTCAGTTCCTTGCTGATTTGGACTTATTGTGATCTCATTGAATGACTGCTGCATTGAAAAATGATTTCCAGAGTTTTTATGCGCATATGTATGTGTGTACTTGTACTTAAAATTTACTTAAGAAAGAGGATAAAAGAAACCAAGACTGTTCTATTGTCACAATGTTCTTGAAAGTGAAATAAATCTATAGATTCTGTTTACTGTACTAAGACAGTTGAAGAAAAGAAATTTCTCTGGGTCCAACTGGCTGAGTGTGAAATTAGCCCAACTTTCTGCAATATATTGTATTCTCTTCTTCGATGTAATCCCCCAAATTCACTTTTCTATATGAACCTTGAGCTACTCATACTTTAGCTTTGTTTCTGGCATGCTTCCATGATCAAGTATGGCACCTTCAATATATATATACTATATATAAGCTTACAAAAAGATATGTGGGTGCTAGATGAACTCCTTATTATAGTGCATTTTGATACTGAGGCTTTGATAGTTTCTCTGTTTTAGATTTCAACTTTTAATTTTATTTTAAGAAATGAATCAGGGCTTTTCTATACCGTCTTTTTTGGAGTGAGCTGGTGTGACCTAAATAGGGTCACTTGAGATTGATTAGAAGTGTGATGTGCTATTTGGTGCAGTCCTCACATCCAAACATTATATCAGAGCTCAAGAGACCCTATTTGGTTCATCTCCTACCAGTTGCAATGTCCAGTATTGTGAAGTGGCTTAATAAGTTAGCCACTTCAGAATATTGGCAAATAGAACACTGCTTCTGCTCTTCAGCAGAGGGGCAGGGGGGATGATATTTATTATTATTGGTATTGTAGTAGACCAATGCTAATGTGTTGTATCACTTATATACAGTGTGTATATATAAAATACAGGAAGTTCCAGCCGGTAGAAGCTTTGACACCCAGAAGACTCACTTTTGGTCCATTTCCATTGACCACATGTGCTGCAAATGGACCAAACCAGAGCAATCCTACCTGCAGCAAAAACATAGAAGCCTCTGACAGGCTCAGAAAGGTGTGGATAGGACCACTTTGGGAATGATATTCACTCCAACAATTACATTGTGTGATCCTTGGCAAAAGGAGCACATCTGATCACACTCTGAGTTCCATTATATTGTGTATGCAAAGTCATACAGAATTTTCACTGCTCTATTTGTGTGCCTGTTTTGGAGAGATGGGAGCTAACCAAATGTGGAAAGTCTGGGGTTTCTGAAGGATCAGCTCTTTCCTCAGTATAAGTATTTGGCATTGTCATAATCACATTATTTTTTAAAATACCCATCTACTAGTATATTGTATTTTTCTACTGAGTTTTGCTGTGCATGAAATTGAGGGAACAGCTTGTAGTGGTTAGAGGTAAATATGCATAGAATAGACATAATTTCCTTACCTACATGCAGTAATACGCTAATCCTGATTTGAAGCACTCTAGCTCATTCACCACCATTGCTCTCAAAGTGTGACTTTTAAGACCTTTTTTCGTCTCTTCCAAAGTCTGCAGCGCTCTCATCATGTTACACAGAACTCCACTGAAATTACCAATATAAATTCCAGCCACTAAATCTGCATGCAGAGTCATTTTTTCCTTAAGCGGTAGGAGAGGATATCAAACCTTTAAACCGTGCATTACTCACATCCCTGCAGGTTTACAGGTAGGAATAAAATACATTCCATGGTATTTCATATGCTTTAGAATTACGACTCACATGGTGTGTGTTTTTTAAAATATATGTGTAATAAAATCTCACACCAGACTGAATGTGGTTTCTGAAGCCAGGACGTTTCTTTTGAATCTTAGTAGTCAGCAGTCTCACAAAGTGCACAGGATTTTACAAGTCAAATCTAAGCATTTCCTGATTCTTCTTAGAAGACCTGCGAGTCAACTTTACCATCATATCATGCTCTTATGTGATTGTAGTGATCATCTAATCTACAGAGCATGGCTGAGTGAGGCTCAGGTGGCAGGAGGTGAGGGATGGCAAATTGTGTCACATGCCTACCACAGTGGTTAATTCATCTCCTTCTCTTCC